CAAACTTTCTCTTTATTTCCTAAGCATAAACTTAGTAAGCATTCAACTCTTACACAAATAAATTTCATATCTAGAGCAAGGATTCTTACCTCTCATTGCTTAGGATCAACTCCTTATTAATTTCCAACCAAAACCCTTAAAAAATCCTTGGAAGGTTGAGTGAAGAGTTGAGAGAAAATGAAGGATGGAAGAGGCGGTGGAAGAAGAGAAATGAAGGGGTTTATAAGACTAAACCCTTATTATCTTATATTATAAGCACTCTTTCCCATTTTACCCTTACACTTTCTTGGAAATTCCATCTTTGACCTTTAATTCTTTGCACTCACACCCTCAACTCCAATGTATTCTCCATGAAATTTTCTTACATTTCACTCCCCACTTTTCCTGCTAATTAGGGGTAGAATGGTCACTTTGCCCCTATGAAAAATTCTCTAGAAACTTCGCCAAACATTTTAGTCGGCTCTTCGAAAAATTCTAGAACCTGCGGCGCCACGGCGAAGATTCTTCTTCGCCTCGGCGAATTCTGTAACTCAAAATTTCGCCAACTTTTTACCAATTTCAGGGCAACCACTCAACCTAACCAAAACACTAATTCAACTAAGGACCAACCAAACAATATTAACAACATATAAGCTTAATTAAGGGCAAATCGATCAACATATAGGCAATACAACATACTTTAGCTACATACTTTAAGTGGGCGTTACAAAGAGAGATGATTTCTTGACCTTATCAGATTAAGTTTAATAGCTTAAATAAGATTTGGAATCTTAATAGCACACTAAGAATTATTTTGGGACATAATCCCTATTGTAAAAGAGATATGATTTCTTGACCTTATCAGATCAAGTTTGATAGTTTGAGTAAGATTTGGAATCTTAGTAGAAGAGGAAATAGCATGGGATTCTGATTTCCTATTTATAGACTGTTGTAGGCTAATGGGCTGAAACCCAATTTAGCTTAACTTATAGGATAGTCCAACTCATAGAGTGGGTAGTTTACAAGGTGATTTTAAGCGTCGGCCCAGTCGGGATTGGGTTGAGGCCTTGGGCAGTAACATGTTTATTTTGTTATTGGGCCTCCTTAAGCCCAAGACGATTTTTGGCCCTAACAGTTAGCCCCCAACTCTCTAAGTTAAAAAGTATTTAGCTTAGAGAGTTGATTTAATCGAATGAGTGCAGACTGAGCGGATTAGTGATAGCAGCTCATTAGGTCGGATGGATCATTGTGTGGATTGGGTTGATGACTTGTCGATTTGAGATGCAAGTCCTTCAATCGGTCTGGGCCGATTGAATGTGTAAATCTATAAATCGGTTTGGGTTGATCGAAGGTGTCTACTTATGAATCGGTCTGGGCCAATCGAAGGTGTAAACTTGTGAATCAGTTTGGGATCGAAAGTGTAAACTTATGAATCTGTCTAGGCCGATCGAAGGTGTAAACTCATGAATCGGTCTGAGTTGATCGTAGGTGTAAACTCATGAATCGGTCCGGGTCGATTGAAGGTGTAAACTCATGAATCGGTCCGGGTCGATTGAAGGTGTAAACTTATGAATGGGTCTGAGCCGATTGAAGGTGTAAACTTATGAATCGGTCTTGGCCGATTGAAGGTGTAAACTTATGAATCGGTCTTGGCCGATTGAAGGTGTAAACTCATGAGCCGGTCTGGGCCGATTGAAGGTGTAAACTCATGAATTGGTCTACACCGATCGAAGGTGTAAACTCATGAATTTGTCTGTGCCGATCAAAGGTGTAAACTCATGAATCGGTCTAGGCCGATCGGAGGTGTAAACTCATGAATCGGTTTGAACCGATCGAAGGTGAAAACTCATGAATCAGTCCGGGCCGATCGAATGAATCGGTTTGAGCCAATCAAAGGTATAAACTCATGAATCGGTCTGGGCTGCTCGTAGGTGTAAACTTATGAATCGGTCTGAGCCGATTGAAGGTGTAAACTCATGAATTGGTCTGCGCCAATTGAAGGTGTAAGCTCATGAATTGGTCTGAGCTGATCGAAGGTGTAAACTCATGAATTGGTCTGGCCGATCGAAGATGTAAACTCATGAATCGGTCTGAGCCGATCGAAGGTATATGCCAAGTGGAGCTTGTATGGAGTTACAGTCGAGCCGGCGAAACCGACTTTGTAGTTGAAAACATTTGATTGAAGCTGGAGCAGTGACATGCATGTTTTAAGCAAATAGCCGAATGGAGAGTTAATATGCATGATATGCATGTGTTATGGACTGAATGAAGAGTGAGCTAAATGAAAAAATGGGCTACATGTATTTAAGTAATGGGTCGAATAGAGAAAGATTTAACCAAATAGAGTGGTAGTTAAAAGGAGATAATGACACATACCTTTTCCCTTCAAGTGCTGCCGCCCATGCTTGTTGGACCGAGTGGAGAGAGGGGTGTTACTTTCTATGTCGGAGTTGAACCAGTTGAAGTTGAGTGGGCACATGATTCACTTTTGGGCTGAACCGAATGGGCACATTGATATTGTATGTGCAGACCCAAATATCATTGAGTTGACTATTCGTGTTGTTTAGTGGTGCTGAGTTGCAGTGGGGAGTGGAAAGTTTGCAAATAATAGGGAGCGTGAGGGCTTTTGTGATAAGTGTGCTAGAGATTGTGATGTGAAGGTGGTTTGAGTTGATATGTATTGGTTGGGAAGGGGTGATGGTTCGAGTTTGGAATTTTGTAATACGTTGGGATAAGGAGATTACGTGAGAGTGGGGTGGCGTCACTTAAGCAGGTTTTGTTTGGGGGGTTTCTCTTCGTGTTTAGTAGATGACTTTAGGTGTTTTGAGAGGATTACTGCTGTGTTTTTAGGATTTAACTGTGTGATTAGAGAAGTTGTTAGGGCGATTTTAGGAGAACAGGTGGACGGGTTTTGGGTTTCAAAGTGGTGGAAAATCTCTGTGAAGTTGAATTGGGATTGGATCAAGGTTGGTCGAGTTTGAGTTACCTTCTAATGGAGTGAAGGTCTTGGAGATGCTGGCGTATTGCGGCATCTCTTGAATGAAAAAATTGACTGGTTTTATGGCGGGTGATGCATTGCAAAGCTCTGATGACGATGGCGGACCACCTGGTGGTTTGATGATTGAAGTGAAAAGGCGCGTGTAGAGAGATTAGAGACATAAGCTATTGCCTTATCTAAACAGAGTATTAGAGAAGAGAGATTGTTGAATCAAAGTCAATAAATCAAGTGGTTTAGGAACACCACTTTAAACTCTGACACATTATTATTCTATTATTAATTTAGAACAATAATATGAGCTTCAAGGTCTTATACTACTCGCTGAATGGATATAATATAAAATAACTTACGATATGTCGAATAGATATAATATGACATGTGAATAGATAAAACAAACGAAGAAAAATAAAGAAAAAAAAAATTCTTATCGAGATGGGATTTTCTGATTAACATTGTCAGTCAAAAAGAGTCCCGTGTTGCCTCCCATGTTGTAAGTCGTCGTTGGCAGATGATTGTCAGGGCCCCATGGTGGGCGCCGAACTGTAGATGCAAAAAATCTACTGTCATGAAAATAGGGTCTGATCTCGTGAGGTTGAGGCCACTAACAATCCGCTAGACCTGCACACATGAAAGGATAGGCGTGAAGCTTCCAGAAAACACTGGGGTGGTGTTTGCTGTAGACACTCCGACGCTCAAGTCAGCAAGGCTGAAAGAGATTATTTGATAAAAATTAAGGAGATGAAAAATTACCAAGAGTCTTGTCAGGAGCTAGGACTACGGTAGAGGCATCGGGTTCTTGGGAACAAGAACTTTAAAGGCAAATAGATGGTTTTGAGTAGTGTAGATTGATTATGGGAGATTATATACTTAATGAGAGGGCAAATATCTGTTTTTATAGTGAACTCAAGGGATTTGAATCCTAGTAGGACATCGAGTCCTCTTTTTTAGGAGATAACCCATATCAAGAAAGAAATATGATTTATTGACCTTATCAGATTAAGTTTAATAGTTTAAATAAGATTTGGAATCTTAGTAGGACACTAAGTCCTATTTGAGAGATAATCCCTATCATGAAAGAGAGATGGTTTCTTGACCTTATCAGATTAAGTTTAATAGTTTAAATAAGATTTGGAATCTTAGTAGGATACTAAGAACTATTTTGGGAGATAATCCATAATATGAAAGAGATATGATTTCTTGACCTTATCAGATACAGTTTGATAGTTTGAGTAAGATTTTGAATCTTAGTAGAAGAGGAAATAGAATAGGATTCTGATTTCCTATTTATAGACTGTTGTAGGCTAATGGGCTGAAACCCAGTTACCTTAACTTATAGGATAGCCCATCTCATAGAGTGGGTAGTTCACAAGATGATTTTAAGCGTAGGCCCAATCAGATTGGGTTGAGGCCTTGGGCCGTGACATGTTTATTTCGTTATTGGGTCTCGTCAAGTCCAAGACCATTTTTGGCCCTAACACAAGATACATAGGAAACAATAAATGAAAATGTGATAGAAATGACTCATGAAGAGCTGTACACATACTGTGTAATTGACTTCCGAGTCAATGAAGAGGAAGCTGTCAGAATTATGTGGATGTAAGAATTGAGAGAACACCATTTAATTAGGAGTATAGCAAGGAACGTGGTAAAATTATTGTTCAGAAACATTGTAGGGATGTCTAAAGGGTACCTTTGAAATTATATGGTTAACTAAACTTTAGAAACTACTAAGTTGAACCATTCTCTTTAGTTTTGGCATAAAATTTGGAGTAACTGATTTATTTTTTTCTTTTGTAAAGTCTGAGAATTAATTAATTTTGACTACTATAATTATAAATCGAACCATAATTATATTTTATTTTTTAAAGACGTAGCCAAGATTAAGTTACAATCGATAATATAGTTGTCAATGAAATTTAAACAGCAATATATTATATTGGGTTAAGAACGTAAAACATGGTTAAGAACCCCAATTCAAAATCGAAAGTGAGAGATCGTTCGCAATTCAGGAGAAATGAAAACCCAAAAAAACATCAATTACGAAGAAAGCCTAAAAAATTCAATAAAAAATCAAAAGAATACGAGAGAAAATGTGATGCAATTGGAAGAGGGAATGATACCCAATTCCTGAAATTACAGAAAAAGATTAAAAAAGAATGAAACTTACCAACCAAAACAAAGGATCTTGATTGATTGATAGTTGACACAGACCCTTTAATTGAATAAGACAGAGTAGAGTAGGTTCCAAGGAATAAACGCAAATTGATCTCCCTGCAGATAAAGTTTTATCATTTTTTTAATGATAATAAGAATACGAAGTGAAAAAGGGAGTAGAATTAATTAAAAAAAAATTAATAATATGATAAATCATGGCACGTTGTTTTCAGGAAAGGATCCCAAAACCACTAAACTCAATACCACTTTTCGCGCTACAGCCTACAAGTACAAATATAACAAAGCGGTTTTCAGACGAGGCATAGAGACTTTAGAAAGTCAACAGAAGTACTTCGTCAGTCGGTGGACTGTTTTGCCCTCTACATTTTTGTTTATTGTAAATTAATATTATTAATAGGATTTCCTTTTTTTTTTCTTTTTTCTTTTTATGTCAATTTTAAAACGAAGTTTTTAAATTATTGGTAGTAGGGGTAAGCACGGGTAGCAGGTAGAACCGAAACCTGCAGGTAGAACCAGAACTGGAACCTGTCCGAAACCGACACGGTGCACGTAGGTTTCGATTCCATTTTATTGGAACCGATAAGGTGCAATTCCAGCTCCGGTTCCTACAGGTTTCGAAACCAAAATTGGAACTTGAGAAAAGAACCTAAAGCGGGCCCCTGGCTTGGAACCTGCTTGAAACTTGTTTGCATTTTGGTTTTGATTGAGAAATTCTATGTGAATTGTAATGAATTGATTGAATTAAAGTGTTGCCTGGAGATTAGAGAATTTATGAGTCATATTGGACACAAATGAATGAGTAATCAAAAGTTGAAAACTACTAAATGTAGGTTTTCTTAATTTGTTAGGGGTGTATTTGTAAAATTTTAAGGTATTTTTATCATTTTTTAAACTAATAGGGGGTAATCGATTTTTTACAAGGTACTTGGGTAAGGAACCAGAACCTGCATTTTAGGTTCTGATTCCTTTTTTTGGGAACCTACACTGTGCAATTTCGATTTTAGTTTCCTCGAAAAATGTAGGATACCCAGAATCACTCACCCCTAATTGGTATTGGATAAAGATCAATTTATTTTTATCCAAATTTGTTTTTATATCTTTTATCAATAGCTAAGATATAATATAAGATTCTTTAAGATCTTTTTATATTTTATATTTTTGTGCATTTATTATTATTAATATCATATTATATTTGGACCAACTTACACGCAACTAATTCTCGGGGGAGATGCAAAAGAAGTAGATAACTAGCACTTGTCCTACCACACTCGAACTATCCATCGCTAACATATATGTATACAACTAAATGAAAAATATAAAATGATAATTAAATATGTAATATACACTATCATAGTCTAACAATTTCACGACATAGGACAAATGTAAATTCTAATACCCCCTTGTCGTAACGTGAAGCATAATGAGAGATAAATGCCAATTCTCTCTCATGTATAGCATGCAGAAAATTAAACATGTCAATCACATGTTATATATTGGGTTAAAGTCTAAACCTAATATGTCTTGCATCTAATATTATGCGTAAAATTCACTCTTAAAAACTAAAAAAAAAAAAAAACCGAGTATTCAAATAAAAGATATACACCATATATAAGACAAAAACAAATTTCTACGATAGTTATATTTAATATGATTCATTCCTTCGAAGTTCATTTAACTCTTGTGTAGAGTTCGTACCCAAGAAACATAATGTGCCTGCAAAAATTCTGACAAATGTATACTATTTCACTAATACAGTCAAACTTCTCCATAATCATAACAAGGGACTAACTAATTTTATTACTATAAAAAGGTTATAACTTAATAGAGGTATAGCTAAATATATTTATTATTTCAAAATTCATGTTTTAGTAGTACAATATTAAGATTTCAATTCATGTTTTAATAATATTAGGGTTTCAATTCAGTATTTCAATTGCCTATTTTTGAAACGGATAGAAGATCATATTTTGAAACCAACAAAGATAATTGTCCTTAATAGAATTGTAAATACAGTTACTATATGACAACTAACGTGAGTCATAGACAATTGTTAATTGTTTTAAGCATTACAAAATTAGGACCTCCAATATCGATGAATTGCAAGTTACAAATGCAGTGCAAGTTACTATGTGCAGGTAATTTTCCTTAAGATAAAAATTAGAAAAATTATAACTTATTATAATGTAGAGTTTATTCTTATTTATAATTATCTCAAATTAGGAATGTAATTTTTTATAAGTTTATTCCTATATAGAGCAAGGTTTTACTCCTTTGCAGGGTTTTAACGAGGTGGGATTATGGGAATGACATCACTCAAAAGGTCACTGCCTGATCCATAAGATGAAAAATATTGATCCCTCGTCATGAACGATGAAGAAGCTGATGCTGATTTTGATTTGCTGCTAGAATGCATGGAGGTGGATTCAGAAAATGTGGCATCAGTTTCTGGTATCATCTTCAGTATGGTTTCTAGCTCCCTCACTACATCTGACATGGATGGCCGTCGTTCTGTCTTGTCATGGCAACAATTGAGGGCCAAAGCTANGAAAACTTACCTTGTATATATCTTCGATCGGATTTTAAAGTATTCTAACAAATGCGCGTGAAAACTACTTTTATCATTGGACAAAATTATGGTGGAGACAGCAATGAATAATTGATTGAAATAATAAAGCAGATAACGTGTTCAATGTGCAAAAGGGTCAAGGTCTTGAGATATTTTCTTTTTGATTATCAAATTTTATGAATGTTGATAGCGTGTTCAATGGATAAAAAGTTTTCTTATTATATATTATTAAAATTCATAATAAATCCTATGAATAAATATCTCAATGTTTTATATCCTACGAATAAATTAATTAGGGGTATAGCAAGGAACGTGGTAAAATTGATGGTGAAATGGATGAGCATGTTTGTTTTGGGTTAGATGGGTTTTTTGTGTTGGGTGGTATCAACAATTTATGATGCTGCTATAGAGGAAGGTGATAGATCTTCGAGTATGGGTTTAGTGGTTGATGAATTTGGAGATTGAAGAAAGTGTTATTAATATGAATATGAATTAGATTGAAGAAAGTGTTATTAATATGAATTAGATTGTTTGAATTGAATTAGTATGGGTTTACTGTTGGTATAGTGTTATTAAATTGATGAGAAATTGAGTTGTTGTCAACTTCTGTGGTGAATTTAATTAAATTTTGAGTAATTGATTTGATTGTGGGGGTGTAACTGTAAAATATTAAAACTTCAAAAATTGTGGGGGTGTCATTGGAAGAACTGAAAATTGGAATGAAAAGTACCGGTACACACGGGTCCATCCATACCCGCATAGGGGAGAGTGCAGGTCCAATATTTTGGGCTTGTTTAGATCAACCTGTTTTGGGCTCGTACCTGTTTGGACCAGACCCATACCCAGTCCACTCCCCATTTTGCCTAAATCATAAGTTGTCATACTATAATATAATGTTATAATTAATTACATTTTTAATCGGTTGATTTCACTTGGCAGAGAGACAATTTCATACACATGAATCCCTAAAAGAATGCCCTCATAAGCAAATTTTGATGCAGAATCACGAACCCCAAAAAACATGAATTATGCAACTGCACATGATCTACAAGAAACACACCATTTATCTTCTAAAACAAACTACCAGAAAAATCAGGCGAAATCCCAAAAATATAAAGAATTTCGTTAACCCACTAAAAATCAGTGTGTGATGATTTCTCGAAATTGACAAAACACATTACAGCCACAACCCCAATTCAAAATCGAAAATGAGAGATCGTTCGCAATTCAGGAGAAATGAAAACCCAAAACCCAAAAAACCATCAATTACGAAGAAAGCCTAAAAAATTCAATAAAAAATCAAAAGAATAAGAGAGAAAATGTGATGCAATTGGAAGAAGGGGATGATACCCAATTCCTGAAATTACAGAAAAAGATTAAAAAAGAATGAAACTTACCAACCAAAACAAAGGATCTTGATTGATTGACAGTTGACACAGACCCTTTAATTGAATAAGACAGAGTAGAGTAGGTTCGAAGGAATAAACCCAAATTGATCTTCCTGCAGATAAAGTTTTATCATTTTTTTAATGATAATAAGAAGACGAAGTTAAAAAGGGAGTGGAATTAATTAAAAAAAAATTAATAATATGATAAATCATGGCACGTTGTTTTCAGGAAAGGATCCCGAAACCACCAAACTCAATACCACTTTTCGCGCTACAGCCTACAAGCACAAATATAACAAAGCGGTTTTTAGACAAGGCATAGAGACTTTAGAAAGTCAACAGAAGTACTTCGTCAGTCGGTGGACCGTTTTGCCCTCTACATTTTTGTTTATTGTAAATTAATATTATTAATAGGATTTCCTTTTTTTTTTTTTTTTTTTTTACTCTCAATTTTAAAACGAAGTTTTTAAATTATTGGTATTAGGGGTGGGCACGGGTAGCGAGTAGAACTATAACTTGTGGGTAAAATCAGAATCGGAATTGACACCTACCCGAAACCGACCCGGTGCAGGTAGGTTTCGATTCCATTTTATTGGAATCGACATTATGCGGTTCCAATTCCTATAGGTTTTGGAATTGGAACCTGAGAAAAGAATCTGAAGCAGGGACCCGGCTTGGAACCTGCTTGGAACTTGTTTGCGTTTTGGTTTTGATTGAGAAATTTTATGTGAATTGTGATGAATTGATTAAATTAAAGTATTGCCTAAAGATTAGAGGATTTATGAGTTACATTGGACACAAATGAATGAGTCATCAAAAGTTGAAAACTATTAAATGTAGGTTTTCTTAATTTGTTAGGGGTGTATTTGTAAACTTTTAATGTATTTTTATCATTTTTTAAACTAATAGGGGGTAATTGATTTTTTACAAGGTACCTGGGTAGGAACAAAACCTGCATTTTAGGTTTCGGTTCCTTGAATTTAAAAACTGAAACCGACAGGTTCCGGTTTCAGTTCCTTTTTTTGGGAACATGTATTGTGCGGTTTTGGTTTCGGTTCCCTGAAAAATGCAAGATACATAGAACTGCTCACCCCTAATTGGTATTGGATAAAGATCAATTTATTTTTGTCCAAATTTGTTTTTATATCTTTTATCAATAGCTAAGATATAATATAAGATTCTTTAAGATCTTTTTATATTTTATATTTTTGGGTATTTTATTTTATTTTTGTGTATTTATTATTATTAATATCATATTATATTTGGACCAACTTACACGCGACTAATTCTCGGGGGAGATGCAAAAGGAGTAGATATCCAGCACTTGGCCTACCACATTTGAACTATCTATCACTAATATATATATATAACTAAATGTAAAATATAAAATGATAATTAAATATGTAATATACACTATCTTAGTCTAACAATTTCACGACATAGCACGAATGTAAATTCTAATACCCCCTTGTCGTAACGTGAAGCGTAATGCAAAAGAAATGCTAATTCTCTCTCATGTATAGTGTTCAGAAAATTAAACATGTCAATCACGTGTTATATATTGGGTTAAAGTCTAAACCTAATATATCTTGCATCCAATATTATGCGTAGAACTCACTCTTAAAAAAAAAAAAAAAAAAAAAAAAAAAAAAAAAAGGGAAAACCGAGTATTCAAATAAAAAATATACACCATATATAAGACAAAAGCAATTTTCTTCGATAGTTAAATTTAATATGATTCATTCCTTGGAAGTTCATTTAACTCGTGTAGAGTTCAGTACTCAAGAAACATAATGAGCCTGCAAAAACAATAATGAATGTACACTGTTTCACTAATATATATAACTATTTCTTTCACAGGGTGGAATTTTAATGAAGGACAATATCCATGTTACGTATTCCTCATACTATAACTACTACTGCACATGAAACCATATTAAAACTCCTTTGGAGGGTGTTAACGAGGTGGGATAATGGGAATGACATCACTCAAAAGGTCACTGCCTGATACATAAGATGGAAAATATTGATCCCTCGTCATGAACGATGAAGAAGCTGATGCCGATGTTGATTTGATGCCGGAATGCATGGAGGTGGATTCAGAAAATGTGGCATCAGTTTCTGGCATCATCTTCAGTATGGTTTCTAGCTCCCTCACTACATCTGACATGGATGGCCGTCGTTCTGTCTTGTCATGGCAACAATTGAGGGCCAAAGCTACAAACCTCTCGATGCATTCAGATGGGTAAGACCCCATTCTATTGTCTATGACGGAGAACATCAAGCCTGATTCACGAGCTACATTCACCTGGATATAGGGTTCGTTTCCTCGTAAGAAAGGTATGCAACAGGGAATAGATATTCAGCAAAGAGTTCTCTGTGTTAGAAAGTACCTCGCGAACTATGTTTTTTCCATGCGATATTGGTGGCATACCTGTCAAGAGCTCCAGGAGTACAACTCCGAGGCTATAAACATCACTTTTATCTGTCAACTTGTGAGTTAGAAAATATTCTGGATCGAGGTAGCCCTGCATGTATAAGATTATTAAATATCTAACTTGAGGCAGGAATAAAAAATTGGCCAAGACTTACAATGAAGTTGGATATTTGTTGAGAAAGATTAATTTCGAAAAGCTTTATGATCCTTGAACATGTGAATGAACAATGTTAACAGATTCAAACTTACTGGTGTTCCCTTGACAATTGTGGAAACATGAGTTGGCATGGTTCCTTCATCATCTAGGACCGGAGCAAGTCGTGAGAGTCCAAAATCAGCAACTTTAGCAATAAACTTGGAGTCAAGAAGTATGTTGCTGGCTTTGATATCTCGGTGGATCACAGGTGGGTTTGCTTCAGTATGGAGGTAAAGAATCCCCTTAGCTGAATCTAATGCAATGCGGACCCTCATACCAAAATTATGGAGTGCTTTATCTTTACCTGCATTTGATATTCAAAAATCAAATTTTGAGCCCGGAAAATAACAAGAGAAGGGGTTAATAACCATGGATTCTGAAATTTTTCATACCCGAAAGCCAGTCTCTCAATGTGCCATTAGGCATGAACTCATACACCAGCATCTGCAGAAGTACCAAGAACACAAGCAGGTAGTTCATATGTGTGATTTAACAAATTTTTATAGACCTAATTTTTTCTTGGGTAAAACATCCATAAATCAGATATGTCTTGGCATCTAGAGAACATACCTGCTCCTCGTCTTCATCACAGTAGCCCAACAAAGAAACCAGGTTCCGATGATGTAACCTTGACAATAATTTTATCTCAGTCAAGAATTCATTTTGGCCCTGTAAAGATCCTTCTTCTGCTCGTTTTATGGCGACTACTGTATTGTCAGATAAAATGCCTTTGTAAACCTTTCCATAACCTCCTTGACCAACTTGAGTTGAGCGGTTAAAGTTGTCAGTTGCCGATGCCAATTCTTTGAACTTGAAGCCCTTCACTCCATCAATTTTCATTGAAACCTTTGTGGCTGCAAAGCATAAGGAACTTCACACTTCTTTCCCAATAGTATGTTAATATTGAAGAAATTGCAGAAATCAATATAGGTAGTTGTATTAGAAAACTCACACATGCGCCTTCTTGACAGGGAGCGCTGATTTCTGGCATGTCTTCTTGTCATCAGAAATGTTACAGCTGCAGATATTACCACAGCACTGTCAATTGCTGCTACTACAATTGCTGCCAAATCACCTTTACTAATACCTGTCCTTTGAGTCTCAGGATTTACTGTAGCAGTGAAGAAATCATAAGTATAAATTAAGACAGCATTTATCATTGCAACATGCAGAAAGGCAATTAAATATAAACAGAACTACTAAATCTATCAATTCCAAGCTCAGTGTATCCATGGTGCAACTTTGCCAGACATAATCCGATAAAGTCTACTTAAGGCTAAATTTTTTTTAGAACAGATTAAAGAGCAATGGCAGGCTTAGATACATACTACTGGCATAAGGTCCCAGGAGAGTGAAGTTGAGCAGCTCATAAGGTCCAAATAGGTCATCACCAGGAAATCTCCAGGATGTAAATATTTCTCTAATTCGCAGCACCTCACTTGTATTAAACATAGTTGAGTTGGCATGAGGAAACAGCTTCAAATACATCCTTAGACGAGGTCCTTTCTCCCAAGCAATTGAATCAACTGATAGTTGATAAATGCTTAAGTTGAGAGAACGAGTCTCGTATGCTTCAAAAAGGTTGGCATATGGACCGAAATAAGAGAAACTAGGACTTTTCAGCCGGTATCCAATTCTCAGAGGTGCTGCACAGCTACATAAATCACCAGATGCTGGGACATATTCGTAGAAAATATCTGTAGGACATGCCTCAATAGGACATTTTGAATTGGTGGATTTTGTAATTGTCTCATCGTCTTCTGCTTCAGAATCACAGAATTGGTCTATGTTTGGTATGTTTGCACTTGTGCAGATAGGATTGCCGCTGAGCCTAAAAATAAACCGCTAATATGGTAAGAAATGAGTGGCAAAATTAAGGACCAATATGCAGTATAGCTTTTCCATTAATAAAGTATTTGTAGTTTTCATGATGACCAGAATAACTGGAAAAAAAGTAGAAGATTAAACAGTAAAAAGGACAAAAATCAAAAAACAAATACACTAATTTTCTCCATGCATTTGCATGCCGTTTCCAGGACATTGAATAAAAAGAAATTATACCGGACTTTGAAAAGGAATACTTGCATGGTTCATTATTTGCCAGGGGCAAGCAAAAGCTTACAGCTATTTCTTAGTCAAGCAATAGTTATCTTGTCGCTACATCATACAATACTCAAACATTAGAAAAGCTAGTTGTATCATTTCCATCTCCATCGAGATATGCTTGTTTGCCTGTCCTATAGCAGGTCATTATGAGCAACAAATCTAACCACTATACAGAGGCATAAGTTTATAAATTTATCTATTTAAGCAGATTTTATATTAGATTATTAGTAGACAAACTGAGTCCTTGATTGTCGCACATGCAATGCATCAAGATAAAATCACTCAAGCTCAGAATCTTGAAATTGCCATATCATTAGTCTGGTTTTTATGAAAATGTCATACCTGCAAAGTCCAAGATGTCCAACCATGCAAAATCCTCATTCATGCAGTGTAATTAACTAGCAGAACATATAATGATGTATATAATAAGAAAGCAGCATACCTTAGTGTGACATTGTTTGGAGGATCTAGATCTCCTAAAACGCTTGAGAAATTATTGTTCCTCAGATCACTGCATTTTGAATGTACAAAGATAAATGATTGGCATGAGATATGGTTTACAGAGCCAGACTTTTAAAACCGATGAAGCTCACTCCAAAAATTAACAAATAAGAAAACTTAATTCAATTTCAGAATAATGGGTTGTCAATGAGCCGTTGTAAATCAGCAGGGAAACAGTGAAGCATAACAGCAAATAATAACTCAAAGTTTCTTTTTCGAGATCTTACAGTGACAGTATAGCACTTGAACTCAAGGACATGTTCTGCCATATGCTAGCCGGGATAGAACCATCCAAAAAATTGTTATCAAGTGACCTGAAGTAGAACATAATTTGAAAATCATATTTAGATTAGATAACTCAATCATCATTAAGAAATGGTCTAAATAATAATTCATAACTGTAATTCCAAAACAGGAAATGACAAGGAATAATTAGAAGTAAATATATTCTCACAGTCTCTGAAGAGAAGGAAGATCTGAGAAACTTGCTGGGATGGATCCATTAAGACTGTTTTCTGAAAGATCACTGCAATGACAAAGGTAAAATTACTCTGACATCCTCTCCATTTTACTTATCTATTTTGAACAAAATGAGTGACAAGTTTACGATGCCATTACATACATGGTTGTCATATTATCAGAAAGCTTATTTGATGGTATGGGTCCAGTAAGCTGATTCCCGCTAAGATCCCTGTCACATGAGCCCCGTAACAATTAAATATAAGTTAAATTTGGTAGTTATCTAGAATGGAAATAAATAAATCAAAACTCAAGAGTTAATGCATCCTACTGAAAGTGAAATACAAAAAAATCTGCAACAAAATTTGAACAATACTCAAACTTACAGATAGTATAGCGTTGGAATCCTGCTAAGATCAGTAACGGCTCCCTGCAAGCTGCAATGTCTTAGACTTCTGCCAATTTTGGGAGAGAAAAGTGAAGCAGCATCAGCATAGCATATTTTTTATGTATGGCAGAAACAAATTATCATTTTGATGCTGACAACAATAGTGACCAAGCAGTGCTAATTGCAACCTCAAGCATCAAGGTTCTCAAATATCAACCAGGGCCAATATTTGAGCATTGCAGAGGTACTTCGGGTTTCAAACTCAGACTGAAGTTAACTTTTAGTAGATCCTGCTTTTATAATCAATTCATAGAATGTCTTCTTTTGGAGTCCTTACAGGTTACAGTTGCGACCTCTACCAAATCAAGTTGAATTATTGATTCCTGTAACATTTCTAGGTATACTAAAGATTACCAATTAAAGAGACAAAAAGGAATAGAATTTAAAGTAAATATGTGGACCTAACATTCTGATGTTTCATGAAAACATTCTTTAAAGAGAGTCTCTGAACAAATGGCCGTATTTCCACAAGCTAATTTTCATTATCCGATAGATAAATCAAACAACAACTAAAGCAAGGTGATTGTATGTGCATTCAAAATTAACAATCAAAAATTTTTAAAAAGTTGGTTTGGACATCTGATTTATTCAAAATCAAGTTCGTAACTGTCTACAATCCTTCATCAAATAGCCAAAGATATTGCAACCTCAACGAGGTGAGTGTATCTGTCTTTCCTTCCAAGACTAATTCCTAGTACTGTTTTCTTTCTAAATCCAAGTAAGAGGTCTTTTAAAAAACATTAAATCTAAAGGCCAAACAACATGCATAATTATCTGTATATTAATGTAAAAACAGTGCGAAAGGTGAACAGTATTCAGTAGCACTTACAATTTAACTAAGCTGGAAAAGTTTCCATAAGTGGCTGGAATTTCTGTCCCACTAAAGTTATTGTTATCAAGTTGACTGCAGAGAGAAAAAAAGAAGAATAATGTCGTAAATAAAATAATTTTCAATATGATAAACCATGTTGCCTGTACACCTAACCCCATTAAGCGTGCCCTTAATGGGGTTAAAAATTCCTTCCATCAACGAAGCAAATACAATCAAGCCGATATAGTTTTAATCAATCGACCAAGGTGAATGGGGGTGGGGTGAGATGGATTTTGGTCAGGCTGAGGAGAGTATTTTTGTGGTGATGGGGAGGGTTGTTGACGCCGGCGGTTGTGAGGTCTGGCTGAAATCGATCTACGCTGGCGTTGGTTAGATCTGGCCAAAATCAGTTGATTTCGGCCAGATCTTGGATAGATTTTCTAGGGCATGGCTCAAGGGATGATTGAGATTGCATTCAGTGTGTCGGCATCGCCAACCAGTCGACGATCAATTGGTATTTGGGGTGTGTTTGCTAAGTTTTAAACCTGTAGGGACATATCATATTGGCAGGGGTGTATTTGCTAAATTTTAAAATTTTTGACACTTGGTTTGATGGGCCAGTTAAACCGGTCAACCCGGACCTGACAACTTTTATGGGTTTCTCCCCATGTTGGTTATTAAAACATTGCCTATGATAATACCTCCCTGTGTATGATAAGTTTTGGGCCCTTACTACAAACCCAGTTAATTAAGACGACAAGACAGCCTACCAAATTGCAGTTATGAATAGCAGGGCAGAGGAACATACAGTATGCGCAATGTTGGCAACTCTGAGTATTCTGGTGGGAGAGATCCAGTCAAGTTATTATTATCCACAAGCCTGCAAGCATGTGTTAATCAACTACAAAAAGTCCGAACAAGAAAATGTTACAGCAGAGAATATATAATAAAAGCAAAATCTGTATGAACTCACAAGTGAATAAGTCTGGATAAATTGAAAAGCTCAGGTGGAAGTTGACCAACAATTGAATTGTTGTTCAAGTGACTGCAATATTCAGATATATCAGTAGAACAAATATAACTGCCTTGCCGAATGGAACTAGCCTATGGATTGATGATCCACTTACAAGTGTCTCATACTGGTCATGTTAGCGAATGATTTTGGTATAGTGCCCGAGATATTGTTCTCGTCTACTTGGAGTCTGTTCAAGTTTGAAAGCTTGCCTAGCTCTTCCGGTAAAGATCCTGATAATCTGTTTCCATTCAAGAGTCGGCACACACATGTACATCAGTAATATTAAACCAACACAAAGTATATTGTTTCAAATAGTATCATATTGGACGTAAATAATTTAATAAACACCTGCATCTATAACTTACAAGAGTAGTAAGATGATATATTCCCTATCTCCTTTGGTATGCTTCCTGTCAGATCATTCCACATGAATTCCTGCCAGCGGCACAAATCGAGAAAAGCATTGCAACATTGCATTGATTAACTTGGAAGATACAAGATATAATTCAGTTTTCTCAAGATATCAACTTATGTAATTTTTGCCTCACAATATTCGAAGACGAGATAGCTGGCCAAGCTCAGGCGCTAAACTTCCCGAAAGATTCATGTTCAGGAGATGCCTGTATCGAAAATAGTGTTCATTATCATTAATTGTCACATCTTAGAATTAAAGATTTGAAAAATCATTGAAAGCAAGATAGCAAGCATGAAAAATGGTGAAAAGAGGTATGGAAAGGACATACAGATCCTGAACATGCAAGTAACCATCAGTCTCATTAATTGTGTCAAAACATAAAACTCCGCCAATTTGATAGGCATGGATCTCCCTCTTCCAGTTTCCGAGATGGTTCATAGATCAATTAATCTGCTCATGACTGCCACCAATGCGCTGACTGCAAATGGACATGAGCAATATAAAAATCATGGGATAAGGCATCTTCTAAATTCATACAGCCCAACTCCTAAATTCAATTCTCTTTTCATAAATGATTATCCTTGAATAAGATGTCACACTCACATACACTACTTATAGCAGTATGCCATCTTCTCGGACAAAACATTGAACTTCAATAAGACACTTAACACTATTTTACATATTTTCAATAACATTGAACTTCTTTGATGAGAAAAACTAGACAAAACTTAGTAGTGGGAGACATTGAAGAAAACTGAAAAGAAAACTATAAACTTGCAGTAAGATCCACCTTCTGAAGGATCTGTAATCTGAGCAACTGCAAAAAGCACCAAGTAACCATA